ATGTCTCGCCTTGCCTCATTGTAGCAATCAATAAACTTCGACAGTTCCTTATTTGTCATCCCCATCTTCCAGATAGAATCATTGAGTCCCGTGAAGAAATATACCCATATTTCCCTTGAAAATCACGTACGAAAATAAGTACGTTCTAGTAAAGAGATCTGCTCGCAGGTTCTGTCTTCTGTTTCAGTAGGGCGAGGGAAGTGGATGCGCAATCCAGCGACTGATGTGGGCCAGGGCCCTAAATTATACGGACTTTGTCAGTACTGGTATTAATAATGCAAGTGTTCCTATCATTGGAAAACCCGTAATCAGTAGGATTACCAAGATGCTGCGCCAATATTAACCCCGGTCGCCTTTTCCGTCGTAATGCCTGGGTTTCGAAACACAAAAGATCCTCCCCAAATCCTATAGGTCATGAGACCTATAAGACCCTATAGGGATCCTATAGGTTTTTCGTGTTTCAAAAGCCTATAGGAAAGCCTATAGGTTTCCTATAGGACATTTCCGTAAGAGCCGACAGATATCTACTCAGGCAGGTAATTCGGTGACTTCGTACTTTCGTGGCCCGAGACTTGGGTAAGAACGCCAGAAGACATTTTTTCGCCGATCACCAGTCAAAGTCCACTGCTCCTTGACGATTTTATATATTTCTGGGATCAAATCCAACTACTCCCTATTTTCTGTGAATTTTTCCTGCGCCTCAGAGGAATCGCAATGTCATCGGCGGTGGAATATTCCACGGAAGGTCAGAATGATTCGCAATTAGGAAATCGGATTGCGGAACGAAGCCGCAGAAACTTTTTTTTTCCAACGCCTTGCGAAGAGCGCCGAACGCACGTGGCTTTAATTATCGCCGGTACGAGATGTAAAAACTTAACCTTGGGGTTTTTAGCACACACCCGCCGAAATCCCTCGAATATTCCCGACAATATTTCCACGACCCACACAGCAAATACTAAAGGTGACAGCATGGCGGCTGCATCCGAGCACCGTCGAGGCATGCATTAATCCTTTCGACTGAAAATCTCATCCTCATCCCTGCTGGAAGGGGCTAATCCTCGGGCTAATCCTCACCCCGCTGGGGTCTCCGACTCAGCTAAGAAAATAACAGGGTCGGATTAAGCTTTGGAGAGCCCCGAGGCAAAAAAACAAGCACACCCTTCACCCAATCTCGCGAAGGAAGAGGCAACCGAATTTGAAATCTTGTCTCCTTATCTCGTTCTGCATCAAATCCAGATCTTTCGTTTAACCGAGACCGTTCGCCTATTCAGTAATCTGATCCTTTCGCTTCCATAAGGCAAAGCAGCTGGATATGAATGCATAGGGAAGGTTCCCTTCACCGATGTAAGATGGCACCACGGTCGCCAACCCAGTCGGTCGTCTGTAAAGAACCTAAGCCATGCCTCTGGAATTTATTACACAGAGTATCTGATTTTATTTTCCTTCTTACAGCAAAGCGTAACACATTGGAATCCCGCGATATTATGATGTAACTGTGAAATTCAGCCCAGGGAGAAGTCTGGCAAGACGAAAGGAATAAGAGGGACTCAGGTTTCAAGATTAACCCACGACGGGAATATAGGATAAGATCGGAAATGGGCTCCACGGA